ATTAGCAGAATACCTGGCCCTTTTGCTTAGAAAGTTATCACTCAGTACAAAGAGAGACAAAAAGGGAAAACAAAGAAAGAATGAAATAAAGTAGAAGCTTGATAGGTGTTACTCTTGTTACTATTAATCATTGGATATTCTCAGTGCTTACAGAACAGTTTGTACTTTGGAGGCATAAAGATGAGATCTATTAAAATTAAATACTGAGTTTCTTTAAGTGGTCATAAGCACCTAAATGTGCTTTTCAGAAAATGATTGTTTAAAAAAACAGCAATTTTAGCTAATATCAAATGAAGAAATGTCAAATGGAGGAAGAATGCAAAAAGTTTATGGAATCCAGGACACATATTTACAATCACAAGTCAAGGGTGAAGAATAATAATTAAATTGTTTAGGATTAAAATCATCTGCAGTAAATTCTACTCCACATCAAATGTCAGGCATTGTTTTATCATTACTAATACTGTTCTTGTTACCGGCACTGGTCAGATCGGTGCAGTGAGGTCCCAGGTTCTTGGTCCACAGACACAAAGGAATTTGAAAGCGGACACACAGCTGAAGTTTTAACAGAGGAGGTTTTATTAGCAAAGCAAAAGTACACCCCCAGTGGGAGGGGCGGGCAGGCTTGAGGGAGCAACTGCCCCGAAGTTGTGGTGGTCGGTCCGTGGCTTTGGAAGGTGGGGTCCCAGGGGCGGGTGAGGGTCTTGGAAGATGGACCAATCAGGGCATTGTCTCCACCCCCACATCGTGAGGGGGAGATTTTTTTCCTCACATAGGCATCTCCAGAACTGTCGTGGCGGTGATCCCCCGCAACAGGGTCAAAACCACAGTGCAAATGAGGGTATAATGATGCTTGGGGCTGCTCTCGGTCGGGGCCCGGGGGAGTGTTGCACGTCCAAAGAGCCGCTGCTGAGTAATCAGGACATTGCACCTGGTGGAGTGACCTTGCTCCCAGCTCATATCTAGCTTCCTGCCTATCTCATTATCATCTTTATTGAATAAGAGATTCATGTTTGATGTACCAGGCCATACACTTGTAAATAATTAACTGTTCTATTAATTTGCAAGAGAGTCATTATTTGGCCAAAATTTATCCAAAATGGTCTATTGGGAATCCCTGAAAGTGGCAGAGGGATTGGGCACTGAAGCAAATGGCCAGCATGAGCAAGGGCTGGGTTGTAGTAAATCAAGATTTAGGCAGCAGTGAGGGCAAATATAAGCAGACAGGGCAGGCATAGGAGGAGGCAAGAGGTAAGGGCCTTAGAAAGCTGGAGGGAGGAGAGGCTAAGGATCTGGTCCCCTGATGTACTACCCTGGCATCACACAGCATTGAATATTATACAAGTAATAATAATAGCAAATAAGTTACATCGTGCTTACCATGTGCCAGCTACTGCTCTGGTACTTTCACTAGAATTAATTAAATCATAATCCTCACAACAGCCTTGTGAGGGGGGTACTGTTATGAATCCTCATTTACAGAGAAGAAAATTGAGGTACAAGGAGAGTAAGTCAATCATCCAGGTAGTAAGTGAAGCCAGGATTTGAACCTAGGCAAACAAAAGTTATTGACCGAGGTGCCCTGAAGAATGTTTAAACTGCTGTAAGGGTATATTTAGTGCTTAATAATATTCAATAACTGGTACAGTTGGCATGGAAACAGCCAAACTCATGCTTCTGGAGATCAAAGAAGGCTGCCTAGGTGTGCATGTACATAGCATCTGAGCTGGCCTTTTGATACAGATGATCATATCAGTGAAATCTAACATTAGTTATCAGACCCATCTGCACAGTAATATACTTATAGGTCTTTCTGGTGTATTCATCAATATCAAAGCTTAAAACTGTTAGGAATTGGGCCTGCCCGTGGCTTAGAGGTTAAGTGCGTGCGCTCCGCCACTGGCGGCCCGGGTTCGGATCCGGGCGTGCACCGACGCACCGCTTCTCCGGCCATGCTGAGGCCGCGTCCCACATACAGCAACTAGAAGGATGTGCAACTATGACA